CTGCGCGCGGCGGTGCGGCGGCAAGCGAAGCCGCAGGCCGCCGCAGGCCGCCGCAGGCCGCCGCAGGCCGCCGCAGGCCGCCGCAGGCCGCCGCAGGCCGCCGAGCGCCTGCCCACCAAAGGCAACCGCTGCGAGGCAGACTGGGGAGCAGCCACAGCCTCTGTCTCGTGGCAGAGGGCCGAAGGCCGACTCTTCACGAGGCTGCGCAGCCTCTCTCGGCCATGTGGGTTATGTCGGGCGTGTCCCCCCTACAGGGGGATTTTCGACGAAAAATAGAAATTTACCCAAAAAATAGCTAAAAAATTATCCAAAAATAGTCCGGGGACTATTTTTGGACTATTTGTTGGCCTGTTTGGGGTATTTTTGGGGGTATTCTTATTTGTCGTCGAAAATCCCCCTGACATGCCCGACATAACATTTGGGGTGCCTGCCGGGGACCCTCGCTGGGCTCCTCTCGATGCGTTGCAAAACCCCACCCCTGCCACACCTGACCACCCATGCCCTCCACACTCCACAGAACAGGCCAACCCATCCGCCAACCCGCCCGCCCGTCCAGCCATCCGTCCAGCCACCCGCCCACATGCCGCCCACATACCCGCGCAGCCCACCACACGCGCACCAACACACTCATACCACCTCAACCTGATCCACACATCCACTCACTGCCCAGCCACCCTCCCGTTACGTCCCAACTCCGCTGTTTCTTCCTCGTCCTCCTCCCCTTTCCGTTTCCTCCTTAACCGTTCATCCAACGTTCCGTCGCCCCCCTCGTCTCCTCATTTTCTCGTATTCTTCCCTTCTGGATCCTCCCTCCTCCCTCCTCATTGCTCCGTTATCCCTCCTTTCCGCTCTCGTCCGTCATGCCTCTGATCTCGGGGACGGCCAAGAGGGAGGCGTCCAAGAGGGGGGGGGAGCAAATCACGGCCGCCGGCGCATGCGCCGCCCGGGGGGGGCTGGGGAGGTAATGCAATAAGAAGAAGCTCCATGAAACCTGGGGGAGTATCCTGGCCCACGCCGTGATACTCCCCCCAGTCATCACCCCCCTCTTGGCCGCCCCCGATGATCCTTCTCCCACGACTACCTCTGGGAGTTGCACGGGCCCATGAAGGGCGCGCCCGACCCTTGGCCACGGGCAGGCCAAAGCGGGCCCCACCAGCCGCGAAGACGGCGACAAGGGCCCCGAGGACGCCGGCGAAGGCATCAGCAGCGGCCACGCTGCTGGGCCACGCCGCCGGCACGTTTGTGGCAAGGGCCAAAGGGGCGGCAGGATCAGCGGGAACCCACCCACACAACGCGATACGAGAGACGCCAGAGGTGGTGGCATCTCTGCCCCCGGGAGACCTCCTGGAGCTGGCCGCGCTGGCCTGGGCGCTGGCGGCGGTCGTCGGGGGCCCAGACATGCCCGGCGCGCATGGCGCGCCTGGCACGCGGGGCGCACCACGCCCCCAGCGTCGCGCACATGGGCTCGGTGTTGGTTCCCAGTAGCTGCCCATCGAAAGAGGACCGCTGAACATGCTGAGGCTCGGGTGCTACGATGTGCTGGGAGGGCGGGTAGGAGTAAGCTACAGGGCTTGCTATCTAGGAGGGTGCCCTTCCCCTACCCTCTCCCCTGGACCTGGACGGGGCGCCCCGCGAGCGGTCAGAGCATCTACGATGGCCCAGGACGGCTCCAGAGGGCCTCAGAGAGCCCAAGATGACTCCCGAGACGGCTCAAGATAGCCCAGGATGGCTCGATATGGCGCCCAAGATGCTCCAAGAACCCCCAAGACCGCTCCAAGACAGCCCCAAGTGCCCGTGGAGCCGCCCCAGGAGGCCGCCAAGAGGCCAACATCAATGAATGTCGCTCTCTCGCCTTGTTGTTTTCGATGGTCTTCCGAGGCCGCAAGATGGCTCGTTGCCCCCAAGAGAGGGCCCAAGAGCGCCCCAAGAGCGCCCAAAGAGCGCCCCAAGAGGGGCCCAGGAGACGAGTGTCAGGGGCTCCCGGGGAAGGAACGTAATCGAAGCTCCCATCTTGTGTGATAGATCTCCTCCAAGATGGCCCCGAGGGCGCTCCCAAGGCTTCCAGGAGCGCCCCAAGAGGGCTCCAACGGACGCCCCGGGGGCCCCAAGAGGCGCCCAAGAGGTCCCCAAGAGACCCCCAAGAGGCTCGCCACGGCAGTCAAGACGCTTCAAATCAAAAGGCGCACAGGACCGCCAGGAGGCCCCCGAAACGCTCCAAGAGGCCTCCAGAAAGCTTCCGAAAGACACCCGAGGAGACTCTGAAAGGCAACTCGCCTGGGCATCGTTTCTGGATGGGTTGGTGGGGCTACGCAAAAAGAAGGAAAGGGGAAACAACACAAAACAGGTGCAAGGAAAAACTATGAATATCCAGCTGGGCGCGCTCCCGAAACCCGCCGTGGGGGACCCCCCCCTTTCTACGAGCCCCCGAATGTGGGGGCACGAACTCCTCGATGCCTGCCTCGGTGGCGTTTGCAGAGGCGGTGGGGCGGCCGCTTGGGCGCGGTCCCCCCCCCAGCGGTGGCGGCACGCCCTCGCGGCGAAGAGAAACCCTCCTGGCGGCCGCCAGGGGAAGAGTACACTGATGCAGTCCCAAGGGGCGCCCAAACAGTCACTTACAACGAACACGGGTACCGAAATATGAGTCATCGCGCGTTTTCGCCTGCGCGCGTTCAACTGCGCCCTTTCTTGGAACCTCGTGAGCGGCGGAATGGGGGAAGCAGGTACACATGAACATGGAAGGAGGAGGATGCAGCAGGGATAGAAAGGGGGCAGGGGTCAATGGATGAGGAAATACAATATGGGGACGATGGGGGGAAAGAGTGGAGGAGGAACGACGAAAGAACCAAGCGGGAGGTCACAATAATAAAGAAGACGGACGAACAGCCAGGAGCGCAAGTGAGAAGGAGGAGAATGAAACAAAGGCAACGTAAAGGATGACGAATGGTCGGATAGGGCGGACAAAACTTGAAGAGCGGGATGCATGGAGGTGGGTACGGTACGAGACGTGATGAAGGGAGAGGGAACGAGAGAGCGAGAGAGAGACACACAACAAACAGCACCAACACAAAAAAGTGGAGACGTGGACACCCCCGTCTCTGGCGAGTCACCGCCGCGCCCCTGCCTTTTGGAAGAAGCCTATGTGGCCAAACGTTGTGGCATGTGTGACAGCCGTCGATGAGGATCATGCACCTTCCCTACTCCGAACCACACTCGGGCACTGCCTGCTTTCCACCGCCGCTCTCGCCTGCCTTACCCGCTGCAGCCGACCAGATTCGCATCGGCACGGTGATGCACACCATGCTGTTCACCGCAAGCTTCCTGTCCCTCGCCTCCCATCCTACTTCGCTGACTGCCAGGAAGGTTTCGCTGGACGCACTAGAACCGTATGAACAAGGCCAGCGAAATAGCAACAGTCCGGACGTTTCGTGCCGCATCGACCCCACCAATCAACACAGCCCCCTGCGGGTCCGCCTTCCCATGTCCCTCGCCATATCGTCCCCTTTCGCATTGTCCTCTAGTATCGTCCACCCCCCAATCGACCACAGGTGCCCATCTCCACGCGTCCTCTCCAGTCGTTCCTCCACGTCCTCATCCAACTATCCAACTGTCCACCCGCCGTGCTCATGTGATTATACAGCTTTGCAGGATGGTGGGCCAAGGAAGACGCCCTCATGGAGCACCTCATCCCGAAGAATGAAGAAGGAAGAGGAATGGGAAGGAGGCTGCGGTAAAAAGAAGGAGGGAGCAAGCGGAAATATACAGGGAAGGAAGGGAAGAAGAGCACGGAAGACGCCTATGGCGAGACACCGCCGCGCCCCAGGCTTTGGAAGGCCTTGATGTTGACAAATGTGGTGGAAACCCATGGCGCGAGTGATCGATTATTACTGTAAAACTCACTCGACAGTCGGCGAATTTTGAGGGCCCGCTTTGGCCGTCCTGTCTGAAAATATTCGTGGGAGGCCCTCTTGGGCCCCCTCGGAGGAATCTCCTGGACGGTCTTCGGGCTCTCGTGGGCTGTCTTGGCCTTAGGGACCGCGTGGCCTATCCGAGGCCACTCGAGGCCGCCTGCGGCGTCTCTTGGGGTCGTCCTGGAGCCCTCTGGCGGCCTCTTGGGCTGTCATGGGGCCCCCCTGGGCCGCTGTGGGGCCCTCTTGGAGCAGCTCGGGAACCTAGCGGACCCCTTGGGGCCCAGTCGTGGGGCCTCGTGGGCTGCCTCGGACGCGTTTGCAAGGAAAGGGATGCATTTTTTGGTTTCCCCATTCAGCGCTCCATTGATCACAACGCCGACAATGTCTGGTGGGGTGCTATCACGACGACGACGACGACGACGACGGCGGCGACGACGACGATGACAACGACGGCGACGACGCTGGCGGCGGCGACGACGACGCCGACGGCGGCTTCGACGACGACGGCTGTGACGACGAGTTCGACGAGTTCGACGACGACGACGACGACGACGACGACGACGTTGGCGACGGCAGCGGCGGCGGCGGCGGCGGCGGCGGCAGCGGCGCCGACCTCCGGAACCCTCCGACGACGACGACGGCGGCGGCGGCGACGACGACCTCCGGAGCTCTCCTGGAGCACCACCACGCCACTCACGCCACACCCACAGCACCACATCACACCACACCCACAGAGGGTTGGGGGGCCATCGCGCGGGGGGGGCCGATTGCAACAGCATGAGGGGGGGGGGGGGCCAGACGCTGGGCCGTGTATGCCCAGGGCCAGAGCTTACAATCGTCCAAGGCCTGGATGTGCAAGCATGATTTGGGCCTCCCAGCGGCCTCGTGGTGGCTCTCTTGAGCCGCTCTTTTGGTGCTTCTCGGGAGCCTCCAAGACAGTGTTGCAGCGTTGTTGGACATTGTATAGGGGGTCCAGGGGGGGGTCCTGGGGGGGGTCCCGGGTCAGAATACCACCTCCCTCCTCCTCCTCCTCCAGAGCGTCTTTTGCCACCTTCTCCATCTCCTTTTCGTTTGTCTCCTCCGCCTCCTCCT